AACTGGGAGCATGCTTCTACTAAGTTGCATACAGCAACGAGCCCCGCGACATAGTCGGGGCCGCATAACAAAATCCGCAAGAAATGCTACTGGTCGAACTGGCCGATAACGCAGTCTGCCATGTCGTCCCAGGATGCCCACTCGTACAGACTTGCGTTTTCGTAGATAGCGAACAAGTTCTGCAAAATGTCGAAGCGCGCCGTGCCTTGAAAGCCGTCCAGCGCACCTGCCTGCGAGCCGAAAAATAATGGGCGGCCGTTGAGGTCGGAGTGTTCGGCGATGGCCCTGACCTGCTCGGATGCACCTTCGCCGCCGTTGCGCCAGATGGACGCTGCAATCTCGTTTCCCCATGGGCGCTCCTCGATGGCGTGAATGCAATCGAAACTCGCGATCCGCGCCGCGTACACCAAGTACAACGTGAACTCGGTGGCCTTTTGGCGAAACCTGTCGCACAGACCTCCGGAGCAGGCGGTGTAGAAGTCTGGGGACTCGCCGAGCATGCTCAACATGTCCAGGGTGCTCTGCTTGTGCAACACCATTGGGGTGACTGATGCGGGCCACTTCCCCCAGTCCATGGCTTGCTGGCCGAGGACGCCTGCGGACGCCCAGAACCAAGACTTGTGCTCTGAAGGCATGTCCCAGATGTCGTACCGACCGAATATTTTACCTTGGTTGCATGGAGTAAAAAAATGTATCAGGCTCAAGATCCCGCAGGAGCGTATTTTTGGCGTCCAGAACGACGTAGTACTCCGACGAGACACGGCTGGCAATCTTGAGTTTCGCCGACTGCTGCGCAAGCCAACCAATCACCCCGCCCATCTGCAGCTCCAGCACCTCCACATCCCCGCGCTGCTCGAGGATCTGCGTAATCTCATCCAGCTGGCCCGCAAAATCCCATCGTGATCCGCTAGTCCCTTAGGGGTCACTTGGTGTGTGTGACGATCATCCCCCTCGATGGCCCATCCTTCCTTTACGGCCCACCCCCTTACCCCCCATAGTGGATTTGGGAGTGGGGGTGTCTAAACGGCACGTGCTCCCTGCCCGCCCCTTTCCTGCAAAGTGTGCGGGAGGCCGTGGCCTGGCAAGACAGAGCGATGACGATCCAATTAAGGGCACCAAGAAGTCGGCAAGACGGCCCAGGAGGGCCAAGGAAAGCTGCCATGACGGCCGAGAGGACTCAGAGGTCCCAAGAAAGTCCAATAGAAGCTCCAGGCGGCCACCATCGCTGGAACTCAATGACTGATTCATCTGCCTGTGAAGAAAAACGCCACTGTCTACGGTACTTCTAGCCTATTTCCCAACCGTCCTGTGGTGTCGGGTCCTCGTGTTGAAGAAAAAGGCCCCTGCGTTCCTCATTCCTTCCTCTTCCCCCGCCTCCTCCCTCCTTCCCCTCCTCGCCTATGCCCTCCGCATGTCTTTGTTTCGGCACGCCCCTCACACGCTTCGTGGCCCCATAGGGAGCCCCACCGAAGGCCCAAATGCCAGCATTCGCATGCGCCCACCGCGCCCATTTTGGCACACCGCTCACACGTTTCGGGGCCCCATAACGGGCCCCTCTGAAAGCCCAAATGCCAGCGTTCACGCGCGCCCACCGCACCCATTTTGACACACCCCTCACAAGTTTCGTGGCCCCACAAGGAGCCCCACCGAAGGCCAAAATGCCAGCGTTCGCGCGCGCCCACCGCACCGACTTGGGCACACCCCTCATAGGTTTCGTGGCTCCACAGGGAACCCCACTCAAGGCCCTTATGGCAGCGTTCGCATGCGCCGACCGCGTCCATTTTGGCACACCCCTTACACGTTTGGTAGCCCCATGAGGAGCTCCACTGAACGCGGTGCATACAACGACGGTGCCCACAACTGCAGATGATTGGTTTCTTCGCCAAGCTAATTTCGATTGGATTCCAAAGGTTCCCTACGGTTTACCACCACTGTCACACCGCACATTCCTGGGGCCCTTGCGACCCGACGTGTCGCTGCAATGCGCCACCGCAAACGTGACGATTGGAGCCTTGACACCTCATGTTTCTGCGCCATGTGCCGTGCCGGATCGATCTGTGATGGCCCTGGGGCCCGAATCTGGGCGGACATCAAAAAATGTAAAGCCCGGAACACAGGGGTGGCCTCTACGATTCGTTTAGGTCACTTTGGATTCCGATGGCTGTCCCCCAAACCTGCCGCATGGACTCAAACGGGTTTCTGTTGCTCCCGACCCCAACAAGCTTGCCACATGTTTTTGTGGCGGCCGCTTGTGTTGTTGCGGGCATCATCGGGTTTTCCCCAGACGGCCTTGCTTGTCGCATCACTGTTCCAAACCATGCTGTGGTGTTAGGGACTCGTTTTGAAGAGACAACGCTCCGCGTCCCACCTCCTGTCCTCTCCTCTCCTCCCCTCCTGTTCCTCCGCCCCCTCCCTCCTCCCGTCACTCCCCTCACTTTGGCACACCCCTCGTACGTTTCGTGTCCCCATAAGGAGCTCCACCGAAGGCCCACATGCAAGCGTTCGCGTGCGCCCACCGCACCTATTTCGGCACACCCATCGCACGCTTCGTGGCCCCATATGGGGGTTCCACCGATGGCCCCAGTAGCTATGTTCGCATGCGCCCACCGCGCCCATGTTGGCACGCCCTCGCACGCTTCACGGTCCAATAGGCAGCTCCACCGACGGCCACAGTGGTTGCGCTCGCATGCGTCCGCAGCGCCTATTTCGGAATACCCCCCACACGCGTGGTGGCCTCATTCCAAGTTGCACCGACGGCCACAGTGGCTGCGTTTGCATGCGCCCACCGCACCCAGTTTCGGCACACCCCTCACACGTCTCGTGGCCGCATAAGGAGCGCCACCGACGGGCACAGCGCCTGCGTTCGCATGCGCCCACCGCACTCATTGTGGCAAACTCCGCACACGCCAGCGGTTGTGCTCGCGTGCGCCCACCGCACCCATGTTTGGCACACCCCTTCACACGCTTCGTGGCCCCATAGGCAGCTCCACCGACGGCCACAATGGCTGCGTTCGCACGCGCCCACCGCATCCATTTTGGCACACCTTTTTTTACCTAACAGCGAAGACTGGTAGGTTTCTAGTGGGCTCAAAAGACAACATCTTGACGCCCCAAGGGAGTCCGGGCGGGATCTGGACGCGGGATCCGGACAGATCCAGAAAAAAGTGCAGCCCCAGAAATTCTTAGGAATCCTGACAGTCCTTAGGGATTCTTAGGAATCCATTCCCAAATTCCCAGGCCACATTTTGAATGCCGGGAGCCAACTGTAAGCCACTTCGTGTTCTTCGTGTTCCCAGAACACCACTCCCAGGCCACATGTTGAATGCCAGGCGCCAGCTGTAGGACACTTCGTGTTCTTCGTCTTCCCAGAACACCATTCCCAGGCCACGTTTTGAATGCCGGGAGCCAACTGTAGGCCACTTCGTGTTCTTCGCGTTCCCAGAAGACCACTCCCAGGCCACAGTTTGAATGCCCGGAGCCAACTGTAGGCCACTTCGTGATCTTCGTGTTCCCAGAACATCAATCCTGTGCCATATTTTTCAATGCCCGAGCTGAGGCAGGCTGAGGCCGAGACAGGCTGAGGCCGAGGGAGGCTGAGGCTGAGGCTGAGGCACGCCGAGGCAGGTTGAGGCTGAGGCCGAGGCAGGCTGAGGCTGAGGCAGGCTGAGGCTGAGGCTGACGCAGGCTGAGGCCGAGGCAGGCTGAGGCTGAGGCTGAGGCAGGCTGAGGCTGAGGCAGGCTGAGACTGAGGCTGAGGCAGGCTGAGGCTGAGGCTGAGGCTGAGGCTGATGCAGGCTGAGGCTGAGAGGCTGAGGAGGCAGGCAAGCCGAGGCTGAGGCTGAGGCTGAGCTGAGGCCGAGGCTGAGGCTGAGGCTGAGGCTGATGCGAGGCTGATGAGCTGAGGCTGAGGCAGGCTGAGGCTGAGGCTGAGGCCGAGGCTCAGGAGGCTGAGGCAGGCTGAGGCTGAGGCAGGCTGAGACTGAGGCTGAGGCAGGCTGAGGCTGAGGCTGATGCAGGACGAGGCTGAGAGGCTGACGCTGAGGCTGAGGCAGGTTGAGGCTGAGGCTGAGGCCGAGGCAGGCTGAGGCTGAGGCTGAGGCAAGCCGAGGCAGGCTGAGGCTGAGGCCGAAGCTGAGGCAGGCTGAGGCTGAGGCAGAGGCAGCGGCTGAGGCTGAGGCAAGCTGAGGCTGAGGCAGGCTGAGGCTGAGGCTGATGCAGGCTGAGGCTGAGGCAGGCTGAGGCTGAGGCTGACGCAGGCTGACGCTGAGGCTGAGGCTGAGGCTGATGCAGGCTGAGGCTGAGAGGCTGACGCTGAGGCTGAGGCAGGCTGAGGCGGAGGCTGAGGGTGAGGTCGAGGCAGGCTGAGGCCGAGGCTGAGGCAAGCCGAGGCAGGTTGAAGCTGAGGCTGAAGCTGAGGCAGGCTGAGGCTGAGGCTGAGGCTGTGGCTGAGGCGGAAGCAAGCTGCGGCTGAGGCAGGCTGAGGCTGAGGCTGATGCAGGCTGAGGCTGAGGCAGGACGAGGCTGAGGCTGAGGCAGGCTGAGGCTGAGGCTGAGGCCGAGGCAGGCTGAGGCTGAGGCCGAGGCAAGCCGAGGCAGGCTGAGGCTGAGGCTGAGCCTGATGCTGAGGCAGGCTGAGGCTGAGTCAGGCTGAGGTTGAGGCTGAGGCAGGCTGAGGCTGAGGCAGGCTGAGGCCGAGGCAGGCGAATCCTTCGGAATCCGTAGGATTCCCTAGAAATCCTTAGGGATCCCTAGGAATCCATAGGAATCATGATTTCTAAGGATTCCTAAGGTTTCCTAAGGATTCCTATGGATTCCTAAGGATGCCTAAGGATGCCTTAGGAATCCCGAGGAATCCTGAGGATTCCATTGGAACCTAACGCCGTTGCCACTGCGACTGTCATTGCGAATGCGACTGCGACTGCAAGAACAGCAGAATTCTACAACTGGATTTTCACCTGCATCTTAAGGGAATGCTTCCAAGTATGTTTATACACATCGCTGTTAGGTTGCTTTGCCGGGATCGTGTTTTCCCACACGTTTCCGAATCCAATAAAGACTTCCACCGACGGCATTGGTGGCTGCGTTCGCATGCGCCCACCGCGCCAATGCTGGTTCACTCCGCACATGTTTCGTGGCTAAGAAGGAGCTCCAACGAGGGCCCCTGAGGCTGCGTTCGCATGCGGCCACCGCACCCATTTTTGGCACACCTCTCGCACGTCTCATGGCACCACAAGGAGCCCTACCGAAGGCCCAAAGACCCAAATCCCAGCGTTCGCATGCGCCCACCACACCCATGTTGGCTCACCCCTGGCACGTTTCGTGGCCTCATCGGCAGCTCCACCGACGGCCGCAATGGCTCAGTTTGCATGCGCCCACCGCACCCATTTTGGTGTACCAGTAACATGCTTCGCGGCCCCATAATGAGCTCCACTCTCGGACCTGCAAGTGCGTTTTAATGCGCCCGTCGCACATTTTGGCACACCCCATCACATGTTTCGTGGCCCAATAACGGGCTCCACCAGCGGCCGCAGTAGCTGCGTTCGCATGCGCCTACCGCACCCACTCCTCTGGAACACCCCATCACACGCTTCGTGGTTCCATGAGGAATCCCACCAAAGGCCCAAATGCAAGCGTTCGTTTGCGCCTACCGCACCCAATTTCGCACACCCCTCACCCGTGTCGGGGCCCCCAGGGGGGCTCCTCCGACGGCCCCAGTGGCTGCGTTCGCATGCGCCCACCGCACCCATTCTGGCCAACCCTCACACGTTCTACGGCCACATAGGCGGCCACACTGGCTGCGTTCGCATGCGCCCACCGAACCAATTTTGGCACACCCTCTTTGACACGTTTCGTAGCCCCGTAAGGAGCCCCACCAGCGGCCACAGCGGCCACGTTCGCATGCGCCCACCGCACCTATTTGTGGCACACCCTTCAAACGTGTCGTGGCCCCATAACACACTCGACGCTTCGTGGCCCCGTAGGGAGGCCCACCGACGGCCGCAACGGCTGCGTTCGCATGCGCCCACCGAACCCATTTTTGCATGCCCCTCACATGCATCGCGGCTGCATAGGGAGCTCCACCGACGGCCCCAGCGGCTGCGTTCGCATGCGCCCGCCGCACCCATTTTTGGCACACCCCTCACGCGCTTCACGGGCCCAAACGGAGCTCAACCGACGGCCCCAATGGCTGCGCTCGCGTGCGCCCACCAAACCCATTTTGGCATACCTTTCGCACCTTTCTTGGCCCTGAGGGGAGCTCCTCGAATGCGGTGGATACAACGACGGTGCTCACAACTGCATATGCTTGGGTCCTTCGCCAAGCTAATTTTGTCCAGGGTGCCGCTTGCATCCCCATTGTGCGTCTGGGTCCCCCCGCACGTCGAATGTGCCGCATGAGTTTCCCCGCCGCTCATCGTTGGCGTCGCGGTCGCACCATCTCCAACACAATTTCGCGACTGCTTTGAGGACGGACGTGTCCCCACACTTGACTTCCACGCGCCCACGGGTTTGATAAGATCATGCCCATCGGGTTTTCGCCGAAAAGCTGCGAACGGGAGGCTGGGAACTTTGCACGAACATGGGATGTGGCCAAGGGGGCGTTGCGAAGGTGGTGAAATACTGCTCCACCCAACAGAAAGATAGGCTCCGCCACCCTCTGCCCCCCGAAATGATCGCCCCTCCGTGCGAAACTGCAAATCGAATCCGCCGACCTGTCGGCGTGTGCGAGACGCTGTTCAGTTTGATTCGTCGTCGTCGTCATCGTTGGCGGCGGCGACGGCGGCAACGGCGACAGGGACGGTCGGGTCGGGCGAAAGGGGGGGATAGCAAAGGGGGGGTTTGAGAATTAACTCGCGTAGCTGATTTTCCCGGCGCCGGAGGCGGCTATGTATCGAGGAATGGGCCCCTCGGTGGGGCCGAAACCAGCTGCATGCAGCATATTCCGTAACCCCCCCTTTCCCAATCCCCCCCTTTCGTCCGGCCCGAGACGGCAATGGCGCCCGAAGCCCAGCCGGCGCCCCGCAGGATCTCGTGGAGATCCGCCGCCGCCGTGCCGCGCGGGCGTCGCTGCCGTCGCTGGCGCTGCCAGCGGAGCCGCTGCAGGCGCGGCCGAAGGCGGCGCTGCTGAGGCAGGAACAAGCGGAGGCGGAGCCTACGGAGCCGAGGACTCCAGGTCCCCAACGGACGTTCCTGAAATAGGAGGATCTACGATCCCTCAAATTACAATGGGTCTACGATCCCGGGCAAACTACGCTGGGTCAGCGCTCCTGGGGCCACGATCCCCTGTGCTCCCATTGCCAAAACCCTTTTACGAACAACGCACTATGTCGGGGCTCCGAGGCTACGATGATTCGCAAAACCAAGCAATAACCTCAATCCAGGCTACCAAGGAAGCGACACCTGGCAAAATGCGTTGGAGAAGGAGCGGAACAACAGGGGCAACACATGTGGCGCAAGCCTCTCGAATCTTGCTGAGACCCAGCAGATAAAAACCTTTCCTAGGGTGCCATGCGGGTCGTGCGCGACGATTGACTTTGCAGTAACCTTCAATTTGCACAGGTCGCGCTCAAAGACTGGGATAACCACATCCGGCCGATCACGCACTGCGGGCACGCACTCGTTGCATTGCGCTGTCGTGGTCGAAGGCTCTGTGGTGGTGTTGGTGACGGTGATCGCGGTCGTGGTTGTAGCTGTCAGACGCGTGCCCCAATCCGATCTTATGGACCCACTCCTCGACGATTGCCCCTCGCTGGCATTCGAATGCGCGGGCCGCCTCTCCCCGCCGCCTGGGGAGCCCGCGCGTGCCACAGTCAGCGCCGTCACCTCGCCGCTCGTGCGCTGCTCTTGCTGGGCGCTGGCGTTGCTCCTGCCGGAGGAGCCAACACAAAAGCTCTTACCGCTGCTCCCACGCCTTCTCCCGGGGCGGGCTCCGACCGGCCTTTCGACGCGACCCCAGACGGGGCGACAAGGGCCTCGCAGTAGGCCCCCCAAAAAAAGCGAAAACGATGGGAAAATGGCTTCCTCCCCTGATTTGGACGCCCGAAGTGGGCACGGCTCAAATGCCCGGCAGCAAATGTTTCCCAAAACCGACAGCGGCCGCTGTCGGCCAGGCGGCCATCTGTCTGAAATGGACAACGCTCGCGGCGGTTTCGACAGCGAACCCTGCTCAAACTGGGCAGGAATTGCTGTCGGCAGCCGTCTCCATTCTTCCCTGAGATCCAGAGTGGCAAATTCGCTCAAGTCAACGCGACCCAGAGCCCTGGACCCAATCTTTCTGCATCATGTCTCGCCCGCACGATCCGTGATGGCCCTGGGGCCCGAAATCCCGCGCACACGCCTGTTTGGAAGAATTGCCAGGCTCGGATCTCAGGGCTTCCTTGCCCATGTTTGAGCAGGGACCGACCGTCCCGGCATTCCTATAGTCCTACCACGAAATGTTCTAAGAACCCCAAACATGTTCTAATAACAAAAATACTGCTCTTAGAACAAACACCCGATGCGTCAAAACACGACAGTCCAAGCCAGGAGCGTTCTAAGAACATTCCGTGGAAACCACAAAAGGTTCTTAGAACACTGTTTAGCAGGCCTCTAGGCACGCCAGGACGCTTCGCCACTGCTTGACATGTCGATCGTATCGATCTGGCCTGCTGGCCGGCCCCGCGCCGGCGCTGGAGTGCGCGTGCCGCTCCCTCTTCGGCTATTCGCAGGAGTGACTCTGAGTAAGAGTGACCTTTGGTGCGCGACGTTTTGAGGCCGCGGGGGGACCAAAACTGGGCGCGCAAGCAGCTGCTGCTGCTGCTTCGTTTTCAGCCATCTGGGGACCCACCTCTGCCTGCACCAAAGGTCACTCCGGCGAGAGGTCACTCTTGCGTCTAGTCGACCTCTCGCCACCCGGGGATCCCGCGCCTGCCCCGGTCAGCGCGGCCACCTCGCCGCGGGCGCGCTGCTCCAGCGGCGCTAGGGCGCCCGGGCGCGCATGCGGCCCACCGCCGCCCGCGTGCGCCGCGCCGGCGGCGTCGGCCGCGGGCTTCGGCGAGTGCTCCTCGGGGAGGGAACGTGTACCCTGACCTTAAGGAAGACGAACAGTTTCAAATTCGTCGCTTCTTTGGTCTCCACGGCGTCCACCGGCTCAGGAGGTCCCGCAGGTCGCCCCCGGACGCGCCAAAAGCATGTCCCAAGAAGGTCCCCGAAGCATGTCCCCGAGGGCCCCAGGGGAGCCCGGGGGAGCCCCAGGAGGCTCCTAAGAAGGCCACGGGCGGCCCCTCAGAGGGCCCAGGCGGGCCCCCAAGAAAGCCCCAAGATGACCGACCTCTTCTCGTGTTCGCCTTGCTGGACCCCCTGGGAGGCCCTCGCCGTCGCGGCTGGACCCGCCTCGAAATTCGAAGCAGAACGCACCTATCCAGTATCTCTTGGTCTCCACAGCTCCGGCGCCGTGCTGCGGGGGTGCTCCGCGAGGGCGTGCTGCGAGGCGTCGGCTGCATCGGCCACAGCACGGGAGCCCTCCGCAAGGGCATGCTGCGCGGCGCCCGCGACCTCGGCGGCGGCGTGGGGTGCCTCCACGAGCGCCTGCTGCGCGGCGGCCGCGGCCTCGGCCACAGTGTGGGGGCCTTCCTCGAGCGCGTGTCCCGCGGCCTTCGCAGCCTCGGCGGCGGCGTGGGGGGCCTCCGCGAGCGCGTGTTGCGCTGCGTCCGCGGCCTCTGCCGCAGCGGTCGGGCCCCCGTCCAGCGCGTGCTGCGTGGCGACGACGAGGGACTCCCGCAGCTCGGTCTGGAACTGACGGGGGGTGTACACGGCAAGAAGCGCAAGCACCGCGGCCCCGATCAGCACGGGAAGCAGACGGCCCAGCCAACGCTGGCCCTCCCGCGGGCACACGTGCCCCTCGTCCTCGGAGGTGACTGTTCGTGGGCTGAGGAGGCGGTGGTGCCCGCCCTCCTCGGCAGGCGAGGGCTGCGACGAGCGGTCCATGCTGGGCTCGCTGGGGTTCCCAGAATGCAAAGGTTCCCTTCTGTGCAAGTTCGGCGCCTGGGCCCAATCTGCTGCCGAGTGGACCCGGGATCGAGCCCATTCGGTTGCCGAGCGGGCCCAGAGTCCCACCGCCGTGTTGGAGTTGAGCCCATTCAGCTGCCCACTCGGCGGCTAACTGGGTTCGGACTCGAACGGGCTCAGACGGGAACCCTGGGGAAGCGAACGAGTACTCTTGGGCCACACAGGGCTGCGGATGGCAGGGGTAAGAGGACGCGAGCGAGGAGGACAAGCACATCGACGAGGAAGATGATGAGGAGGACTCAGACCTCCGACGCCGCGATCATTTACACGAACGGTTCGGGCCCCCGAGCTCCACGCTCTCGACCATGTCAGCAAGGCCGTCGATTTTGCCGCGATCGACGTCTGAAGGATAGCTCCATAGCTCGAAAACAGCCGTGGACGCCGAAGCTCACCGAAATGCTCATGCCGTGATTCGGTCCGAGACGCCTGGAGGTCTCGGGAGGGGGGGAGGAAGAGGGCGGTGGACGCAGCCCGAAAGCGTCATGCCGATTGCAATTCCACGGCGGAGCGGGCCCTGTGGCCCTCATCTCGACGAACCCTGGCCTCGAGCACCTGGGCCCCGATCCGCTGGGCCGCCACCCGCGAACGCCCCGCAGGAGACGAGCACAGCATCAAGGACGGGGCAGACCTGCACGGAGCCCGCCTCCGCGCGGCCCTCGGGCAGCGAGGTGGAGGAGCGAGGGGAACGATGGGCGGTTGGGGGGCTGACCGAGTTGTGTTAGACGACTGGGAATCGACGACGCATCGCCAAAGCATCAGCGACAGGCCCTCCACAGCGATGCAGCACGGCCCAGGCGCGGTGGGCCATCAGGCTGCTATCGGCGATGAACGGGCGATTGGGATCGATACATTTCCACTTGAGCCTATCCCGCTCTGTCGCCCCCCCTGGCTTTCGGGTTGTAGCTCGGCTCTCCAACGGCCGGTCGGGACGACCTGGGAGCCCCTGGAACGCTCTCGGACCGACACAGCCTCGGATGCGAAGTTCCCCCCCCCCCGTCCTGTCGTTGCCCCTGGAGGAGGAGCAAAAGCACGCAGACAGCCAGCGGCAAGGTCGGCGGGCTGGGCCGCAGCGCCTGAGGGGTGTGCCGAAAGGGGGGGGCCTCTCGGGGCCGTGGAGCATGCGAGGGGCGTGCCCAAGTTACCGGGGACCCTCGCTGGAGCTCCCGGAGGGCTGGGCCGCAGCGCGTGAGGGGTGTGCCGACAGGGGGGCCTCTTGGGGCCATGGAGCATACGAGGGGTGTGCCCAAGTCACCTGCCATCGCTCGGACGTCCATTTCCCGTGCCTTTTTCGGTGTCGTGCATATGTTTTATTCTTGGTGCTCGATGGCCCAGGATGGTCCTCGATAGTTCTCGCCGAGAAGAACATGCACGCGTCCGAGCGATGCCGGGGTTGCCGGGGACCCTCGGTGGTTCTCCATGGGGGGCCCACGGTGCGCGCCAGGCGTGCGCCGAACTGGGGGCGGGTGCCGCGCGTCGCTGCTGCCGCTGGGGCCCCCGGTGGAACTCACTATGGTCGGCTGCGCCGGGCAGGAGTGGGGCCGTTCGGCTGCCCATTCAGCGGCTGAGTGGGTTCAGCCGCCAAGCGGGCTCAGCAGGTTTCGCTGACAGGAGCTGTGGATGGCAGGGGCAAGAGGACGCGGGCGAGGAGGGCCAGGACATCGCGTTGGATGACGACTGGGAAGGAATCATACCTCCGGCGCCGCGATCATGTCCATGAAAAAACCTCGAACCTCGCATCCCACCCCTTTGCCCCCTGAGCCTGTTCCTCCCTGAACTTACCCTTTTGAGCAGGGACCGACCGTCCCGGCATTCCTATAGTCATACCACGAAATGCTTTTCGAACCCAAGAACGTTCTAAGAACAAAAGCAATGTTCTTAGAACATCAAACCGATGTGTTAAAACAAGAAAGTCCCAGCCATACATGTTCTAAAAACATGTCGTGGGAACCACAAAAGGTTATGAGAACATTGCTTGGAAGGGCTATAGGCGAGCCAGGACGCTTCGCCACTGCTTGACCCTTGCCCTCCAAGGTTGCCCCTGACGACGCCGCGAGACGGGCCCGCCGGCACCCCGAGCCCGCAAGGCGGAGAGGCCCAGGAGAAGCAGAGCGAGGCGAAGCCTCTGCGAGACGCAGGTCGGGGCCCCCCCCCGCGCGGTGGCGTCCGCCGGGGGTGGTGCGACTTCTGAGACTCGAGCGATCCTGAGATCTTGGCGTCTCAATTTCTCTCCTCTGAGTTCTGGGCGCAGCATATTTTTCACAACGGGCTCTTTCGCCCAGTTTCGGACCCCAGGACCCTTACAGATCGATCCAACTCGAAATGCTGCGAGAAAGGCTTAAGTCAAACCGCAAGAAGCTTTCTGTCCCCCCCACCTGCTTCCCTTGGCAGGGAATAAACTCCGCCCCTCCCCTTCCTGCTCCTCCTCCTCCTCCTCATCCTCCCCGTCCGAGTAGTAGCGAGCTGGCTAGAATAGTCGTAGTAGTAGTAGTAGTAGTAGTAGTAGTAGTAGTAGTAGTAGTAGTAGTCGTAGTAGAAGTAGTAGTAGTAGTAGTAGTAGTAGTAGTAGTAGTAGAAGTAGTAGTAGTAGAAGTAGTAGTAGAAGTAGTAGTAGTCGTAGTAGAAGAAGTAGTCGTAGTAGTAGTAGTAGTAGTAGTAGTAGTAGTAGCAGTGGTGGTAGTAGTAGTAGTAGTAGCAGCAGTAGTAGTTGTAGTCGTAGTAGTAGCCGTAGTAGCAGTAGTAGTAGTAGTAGTAGCTGTAGTAGTAGTAGTAGTAGTAGTAGTAATAGTAGTAGTAGTAGTAGTAGTAGTATTAGTAGTAGTAGTAGTAGTAGTACTCGCAGTCGTAGTCGTAGTCGTAGTAGTAGTAGTAGTAGTAGTAGTAGTAGTAGTAGTGGTGGTAGTAGTAGTAGTAGTAATAGTACTAGTAGTCGTACTAGTAGTAGTAGTAGCAGCAGCAGTAGTAGTAGTAGTAGTACCAGTAGTAGTAACAGTAGGTCGTAGTCGTAGTTAGTAGTTGTAGTAGTTGTAGTCGTAGTAGTAGTAGTAGTGATAATAGTAGTAGTGGTGGTCGTAGACGTAGTAGTAGTAGTAGTAGTAGTAGTAGTAATCGTAGTCGTAGCAGTAGTAGTCGTAGTAGTAGACACCACGACAACGACTACTAAAAGAAAGCAGTCGCAGTTGTAATAGTAGTAGTAGTAGTAGCAGCAGTCGTAGTAGTAGGCACCACTACTGCTACTACTACTACTACTACTACTACTACTACTACCACTACGACTACTACCACTACGACTACTACGACGACGACGACTACTACTACTACTACTACGACGACTACTACTACGACTGCTAACACTACTGCGACTATCCGAGCACTACTACTACTACGATTACTACTGCTACTACTACTACTACTACTACTACTACGACGACTACTACTACTACTTCTACTACCACGACTACCACTACAACTTCTACAGCTACTACGAATACTACGACTACTACTACCACAAACCACCACTACGACTACTACTACTACTACTACTACTGCTGCTACTACTACGACTACTACTACGGCTGCTGATGCTACTACTACTACTACTACTACTACTTCTACTAGAACTACTTCAACTACTACACTTACTAATAACATTGTGACGACTAATCATACTACTACGACTACTACAACAACAACTACTACTACTACTACTACTCCTACTCCTACTCCTACTACTACTACTACTACTACTACTACGGCTGCTACTACTACTACCACAACTACTACTACTACTAGTACCACGACTACGACTACAACTACTACTAGATATACGAGTAGGCGTATTGCCAAAATTAGTGCCACTGCTATTATTACTATCACGAATACTGCTACTACTACTACTGCTACTTCTACGACGACTACTACTACGACAACGGCGACAACTACTGCTGAAACTACTACTACTACTACTACCTACCTACCTACCTACCTACCTACCTTCCTACATACCTCCCTACCTACCAACTACTACCACTCCAATTTTGACTCATACTATTACTACTACTACTACTACTACTACTACTACTACTACTACTACTACTACTACTACTACGACTACTACGACTACTACTACGACGACTACTACTACTACTACGACTATAACGAAAACACAGTATTACTACGACGACGACGGCTACTACTACTATTACTACTACTACTAGTAGTAGTAGTAGTACTACTACTACTACTACTACCACTGTAGTAGTAGTAGTAGTACTACTACTACTACTACTACTACTACTACTACTACTACTACTACTACTACTACTACTACTACTACTACTACTACTACTACTACTACTACTACTACTACTACTACTACTACTACTACTACTACTACACTACTACTACTACTACTACTACTACTACTACTACTACTACTACTACTACTACTACTACTACTACTACTACTACTACTACTACTACTACTACTACTACTACTACTACCCTGTAACGCCCCTCACGGGGGTAGAAACCAATCGGGTGCAGTTTACTCCGTGGAGCGTCGTGTTGTCTCCTCCTCTACTCGTGTTCTTGCGCCAGACGTCCACCCCTGAGGCTCTCGGAAGTTTCCACAAGGCTCGCAGGTAGTCAGAAAAATACCCCGAACATCGAAGACTAAGTTATTCGAGGTTTCGTCTTCGACTCCGTTCCCAGAGCCCCGACGTGGTGGCTGTTCATCGTCGGCGCCCTTGTTGTCTTGAAATTATCATCGGAGGGCCTCTTTGTGACGCTCCCGAGAGAGGGGAGGAGGGAGGAGGGAAGGAGAAGGGAGGAGGGAGGAGGACGGACGGGGAGGAGGCGAATCTCGCGCAGGACGCTATCGGAGCCATCGAGGCTACGGATGAGGTAGGAGGAGGATGAGGAGGAGGAGGAAGAGGAGGAGGAGGAAGAAGAGGAGGA